TGGCGGGGGCGGCGGGGGGAGTGTCTTGGATTATTCTCCAGGTGGGGCCCAGACTCTAGGGCCTGTTCTTTGTGAGGAGAATGGACAAAAACCTTGGTGTCTCCTTCGACTGCTCTTTCTCAGAAGTCACCTCCTCAGGGAGGCCTCTCGCTAAAAATTCAACAGCAGTAGCCTCTCCTATGGTCATTTTATACCCCCCTTCTCTGCCTTACTTTTTTCTCCTTGATACTGTTGACTATCTAACTTATTTATTCGCCTTTTTTTATTGTCCTTTGCCCTAATAAAATAGAAGTCCCATTAAGCCAGGAATTTTTGTTTATTTTGTTCTCTCCTATATCCCCAGCCCCAGATCAACACCTAGCACACAGCAAGTGCTCAATACGTATTTGTTGACTGACTGAATGAGTGAATGAACGAGTGGCCCTATCTGAAATCAGAGCCATCCCAAACCCTGAGCTCCTCCTCAAGCCTGGCTCTGGAAGCCTTAAGGGAGGAAACATCTCTGTATCTTGGAGTCCCAAGCCAGCCTCAAACCCACAGGAGGAGGTTTCACAATGACAGCACCGTCCCAATCAAGGGGGGAGTGGGGCGGGTGGAAGCAGCCTTGTGAGGTGCTATTTAATACCACAGATGAACATGCTTCCCATCTTTGAAGTTTTCCTCTTCTCTCAGGAACTTCTGGGGGTCCCTAGCCATGATGATTCTGGGGGCAGGAGAGGCAGCAGAGTGTGTGCACCATGCTGGATTTATTTTTGAAGGACGGCCACATTTAAGGAAAAAGGACAGACTGGGTCCATGGCCTGCCATCACACATGGGATGGCGAGTGTGTGTCTCCTTGGTTGGCAGCATGCCCCTAGCAGGACATCAATTCCTGTGCTTCTGCACTGAGACTGGAAGTTAGTGCTGTGTGTGTTTTGGAGAGGCAAGGAAGCTGCCGAGGCACAGGGAATGACACGACTGAGCTGAGGGGCAGAAGCAGAAGAGAAATGCAGATTTGCTGGGAAAGGAGACATCTAATGGCTAGAGCACATGTCACATCTGGGACATGTCATGAGCACCTGGACAGGCGTGAAGGCAAGGGGGTCAGTGACAGAAGGGTGAGCTGGGGGAAAATGGGGATGGGCCACAAAGGGGCTGGTGGTCAGAGGCTGCAGCCCACAGATGCACATAGGGGAAGTCAGGCCAAAGCAGAATGACAAGCTGACATTTACACTTAGTCCCAGCATGGAGGCCTGCATCTTGTGTCTTAAAGACATGACACTGTGCCTCCCAAGGCCTTCTCCTGAGCCCCAGGGCTGCGTGCCCCTCATCTGCCCTCTCATCTGCTTCTTTGCAGGAAAGTGTGGACCTGGGAGAGATCATGTTCTCCCTCTGCTACCTGCCCACGGCAGGCAGGCTCACCCTCACAGTGATCAAATGCCGGAACCTCAAGGCGATGGACATCACAGGCTATTCAGGTATCTCTCCTACCAAGTGGCCTGCTGTGAGGTCTCCCAGCAGCCAGAGTTTAGGGTTTGAAAGGGTGCTTGGGGAGAAGGGGAAAGAGCTGTCAGTATTCTCAGACTAGGAGACTGAGAAGAGAGAAAGAAGTAACTATATAGGAGAAAAAAATTAAGGACAATCTTTCTAGTTTATATGAGGCCCCAGGACTTCCAGATAGGTTATGTCAAGTCTGAATGTGTAAATGTTTGTAGGTCCACACAAGCCTCTAGCAACAGCCCTTCGTGCTCAGCCAAAGGAGCAAATCCACTGAAAAGCAAAGTGCATTTGTATTTGAGTTTTTCCTACAGGGCTCCTGGCCTCACCCTCAGCACCAAGAGAGCTTCTAGGTACAGCAGGAGGATAGAAATAGAGTCCTATTCTAACATCAGAGGAAATGTTTGTTTGGGGACAGCTGCAGAGACCTGTAGGCTGGACATGGTGTCAGAGGTTTGATCCTTCTCCATGATTCTGCAAGTCATTGTAGGAGAGGGTATTTGAGTTTAGAAATAACAGAGAAGTAGCTTGATTCCTAGGAGCCTCTTTCCCCCATCAGCTCAAACTGCCCTCAGGAGTAAAATGTGGTAAAGCCTCCCAGAGAACAGGCACATGGATAGTCTAGGCTGCACTCAGAACAGCAAGTGCAGGAAGAGGCTCAGTGTGTTTCCCTAGACCCCTGCCCAAAAGGCTCTTCTGATGATTCAATACAAATGTAAAACCACTCGGGAGGTGCCTCAGAACTGGGCTGGGAACATATTGAAGATTTTTTTCCTTGCATTTCCTTTGTATTATTTATTTATTTATTTATTTATTTCCTGGGAAACCGCTTAGCATAATCACAGTTGCCATAAAGAGGAGATGCTCCAGATGTTTTCAGCTGGTGCACCCTGGTGCAGTTGGAAGAAAATGAGGTATCACGCCTTAAAAATTGGGGTTTCAGGGAAAGGTAGTTGGGAAACCCTTAAGTCGTATGTATTTATTGCCGCTTTGAATCCCTTGGAGCTTCTGTGCCAGCCCTCAGCTGCCTTTCTGCAGGGCTCCTTCTAGGTCAAAAGTCTCCTCCAGACAGCGCCAGCCCTCGAGCTTCTTCCATGGAAGTTACTGACACACATCAGGACATGGTGAAGAGATTAACGGACTCTTCTGACTTGTGAAAAGCTCTTAGGCCATAGCAAGTCAGCTTCCCTAAAAATACAGCCAATGTAGATTTCATTTTAATACCGAAATAAGTGCATACTGGGGACGGAAATTCACTGAGGACTCTCGAAGCTACAGAGGGAAATAGGATTTTGCTGTCCACGTGCTCACACTATCATCTCTGTTGTAACTAAACAGATGTGCTAGAGAGAGAGAGCTTATTGTGAAGCCACTGAGATCACTGTAAAGGCTGTTCCAAATCAGACGGTTTGGGGTTAGAGATTTTTTTCATGCTAAGTTCAAACCTTCCTCTCCCAATTGTCCCTCTTTTCTACGTGGGTTTGGAGTCTGGCATTAAATCTCAGCTTGATTCTTTAAATGCAGGAGTCCTCTTTTCATCAGAAATTTCTATTTTGTTCACTGATATAAGCAAGTGTCTGTAATAGTACATGGGACACAATAAACATTCAATAATGAGTGAATGAATTTATTAATTTATAGCATGAGAAACCTGGCCCAAGGGTGATGCAGTGGGGGTGTACATGCCAAGAGCCTCTTAACCTAGATCTCCAGTTTTTGAGGATGAGTTCGAGGTTTCCTTCAGCCCAGACTGGTTTGGTGTTGGGCTAAACTGGAGAGTGAACTGCCTTGTTAATTGCCTGTTCTTGTTTTACATGGCATTGACCTCTCAAACCAAGGATCTTTCTGTTCTCCTTGATCTAAGCTAGACCTGGATTAATTCTCTAAGCCTACCCACTAGAACCATGATGATAAAAATAGTACAAAATAATAATGAGGATCGGTGTGCCACAAAGGGGAAAACCAACCAACACTGCCACACATCCGGTCTGTACAGCTTTGGTCAAAATGGTCAAAAATGTGAATTTTGGAGTCAGACTGACCTGGATTTAAATCTTAGGCACATTTCTTAATCTCCCTAAGCCTCAATTTCCCAATCTATAAAATGGGGATAATGACAGATATTTTGTAGGGTTGATGTGAACTTTAAATGGCATGATATATGTAAATCTGTTAGCCCAGGGCCTGACACACACTAAATGCTGAATTTTAGTGGCTTCCGTGACAATGAGGCTGAAATACACTGCTGGTCTTTGTGCCTCCTCCCTCAGCTACACAGAGCACCATAGGCTATTAAAGAAAGCACCTCAAAGGTTATCTGGGGCTAGCACTCCACTAGATACCACAAACTTTTGCCCCAGGGAACCCTCAGGAATAGTCACCTCTCTGCTTAGCCTCTTGGATGCTGGTGAGATCATTGGTTCCTGCAAGGGAAACATGTCCACTAAATTTTATAAATTAGATATGCCTTATAGGGGTGAACAGAGTTGGGGAAGGAAGCTGAGAAGCACCCAGTCCCTAATAAGGCATTTGCCCAGTGGCCCGTGGGACAAGCGTCTTTGCCTATATTTTTCCAAGCCTCGTGATGTGGAAATTTGCTCTGATGTGGGAGTGTATGGAAATAGGTATGGCAGGGCAATGAGGCAGCACTTAAGGCAACCTCAAGCCTGAAGACACATTCCAAGGAATGTGCACCCTTAAGGAGTTTAGAAGCTGCTGGGTTGAAGACAGATCTTGGGGCTTTCTCTGCCCACCTGTCTAACTTGGACCTGAATGATATCCTGGGGCATATCCACAGAGAATGGAGCCTGTTAAAACCAGAAAGCTGTTTCACACAGATTCTCAAAACTCCTCCTAACTTTTTACTGAAAATCCCTCTGAAAGAGGTCCCTTTCAAATAAGTAGTCAGAGACAGCAGGTTGATTAAACACCTCATGGTCTCCCCAGTTCCCCCCATAAATCCAACGGTCCCCATGGTTAAGGCACAGCTGCTGCTGTCACACTGGTTAGTCAGCAGCTTATGTAGATGTTCAGAAATGCCTTTAAGCTTGGAGTTTCTGATCAGGTGCTGCAGTTCTCTCTAGTTTCCACCATAGGTGGTGCCTCATCTGCCACCTGAATGATGCCAGGGAGTATGAGAGCCTGGTGAGTGCTCAGATACCCAGGAGAGAGAACCATACACCTATGAATCACAGGGCTGGGGAGCAGCTGCTTTGGCCCGCACCTCCTGACAGATTCACATGAGCTCTGGCTTCTGGGCAAGAAGGTGTCTCAGCATATCAGTGTCTGGAAAGCTACTATTACCCGGGAGTCGGCCTCCTGTTTCTTGAGCTGTGCGGCATAAATAACAATTATGATGGTGACCGAGACACCTGTGCTATGAGATACAATAGGTGTCACTTCACCTGGATGAGTAGAAAATTTCAGGGTAGAAAGATGACCGTGAAATACCCATTCAGAAAACTAAAGAGGAAACAAGGATGGGAGGCACATGGAAGTTCAGTAAAAAGACATCTCATGTCTTTGTAGGATGGAGAGAGTCCAAGATCCCACTGGGAAATGAAATGTCAACCAGCTGCCCTGACTCTCAGGAGACCGCCTCCCTCCCTCCCTCCCCCAGCCCCAGCTCCCTCCCGCTCCACTGCCCAGAAGTGGGCAGGAAGTGGCTTCCAGGGAAGCAGAGAGCAGGCCCACTTCCCCCTTTCCTGATGCCAAATGGAAATGAGATTATTGGGAAAATGGGACCCAAAATCATGTTGTCAGGTGGCAAGGACACGGACAGCATTGTGATTGTTGCTGTTCATTTCACTCTGACACTTTGCTACTCCTTGGGCATCACTGAGTTCTATTTTTACTCATCTTATCCTTTGGGTAATAATGCTGGCCAAAAAAACTCCAGAGAAAAGGACTCCACGTAGGCAACAGAAATAGAGTGTCATCATTCAGCTTCGCCACCTTTTCAAGCCAGCCAGCCATCATGGTGCTGAGATTTAGGGCCATGAACTGCCTACCCCTGGGCTTGTGTCCTGTCTGATTTGGGGCGAGCTTCCCCATTAGTGAAAGTCCATTAAGCACTCTCCCAAGAATACTGCGGTAGCTAAAGACTGTGTTTATTAAGCACGGCGTGTCCTCCGAGACAGGTGTGCTACATAAATACGAGGCGGCTTAATTATCTTAACGACCCACTGATACCATCTGATGAGCAGTGGTAGGTGGAGGGCTTCAGTCCCTCTGCAGCAAATGATGTTCTAGGACATCTGTTTAATACACTCCCTTCCCTTTCGTCCACCCCCATTGGCACAGATCCATACGTCAAAGTGTCCCTGCTCTGTGATGGGCGGAGGCTGAAGAAGAAGAAGACAACCATAAAGAAGAATACTCTCAATCCTGTCTACAACGAGGCCATCATCTTTGACATTCCCCCAGAAAACATGGATCAAGTCAGCCTGCTCATCTCGGTTATGGATTATGATCGGTAGGTTGAGTCCCAGAGGGATATGTTCCCTGCCCCTCACCCCCACTCCGAGGCAGCACAGGGCTCCCTGACCTCGGACCTTGTGGTTCAGGGCTCAGGTGCCTGTTGGCCTCAGATCTGGCTCCACCCACACGGGGTAAAGGAGTTTGAGGAAGAGCATGGATTCCCCCTTAGCAAAGGGCTCAAGCATCCCTTCCCAGCTGGCCTATTTCCATCAGGGGCAACTTCGTGCATCAGTTTCCCTGCATTCACCCCTGGCTACCCCATTCTTCCATGTGACACCAAGTCCTATTATCTGTACTTTAAAATGCCTCTCTCTCCTCTCCATTTCTGCTGCTGCTAACACTCTCACTCTGGGATGTCTGTGCAGCCTCCGAGAGCTGATGCCTTCATCTTTCCCTGCCCCAATTCCTCCAACATGCTGAGGACACACCTTCCTAAACAACCACTTTCTTCCTGGACCTGTCTTTCTCAAGAACCACCAATGGCTCCTTTTGTCCAGGCTTTCCCCCTAGACTCTCAAGGCCTTCTATAATCTGGACCAGCATATTTATCTGACCTGATTTCCCCCTCCTCGGACATATTTCTTCTCTTCCACTTATCCTGCTCTTGCATCCTGGCTCAAAACATTTTCCAGCTATTCCAGCCCCCATGGTTCCTTCTCTCTAGTCATCACTTTAGCTGAAGGAACAAGAAACCATGCAATAATGCCTCAAGTCAGGATTTTTAGCTCAAGTTCTTAGGCATAGTAGGTGCTTGATGAACATACTTGAGTGATGATTGATGTTCTTGCTGAGTGAGTCAATCACATCCTACCCGCTGGGGGCATGGAAAATGGTGCTCAGAGCAGGATGATTTATTTCCAAATGCTGATGTCTCAAGCCAGGTTGTAATGTGCTGACTGAGTCAAATAAGTGAAGAGACTTAAACTCTCCCACCCCCCAAAGTCAGGCCATCTGCCCACCATTTCCTGAAAAAGATAATAAACTTTGTTCCTAAAAGTTTGTAACCTTTTGCACAACCATCTGCGTCCAATGTCCACCCAAGGGGGCTGAGCAAAGTTTCACTGCCATTGACACTAGGAAGCCCTGCCGAGCATGTTCCCAGAGCTCAGAGTTCTGCGTTAGACCTGCTGGGCAGGGCCCCACCCCTTCTTTTGTGAGGACATGTCTGATAGGCAAAGCTGAGACCTTTGATTTCCCTTCAGCGTGGGCCATAATGAGATCATAGGAGTCTGTCGTGTGGGGATCAATGCTGAAGGCCTGGGCAGGGACCACTGGAATGAAATGCTGGCATATCCACGGAAGCCCATCGCACACTGGCACTCCTTGGCGGAGGTAAAGAAATCCTTCAAAGAGGTGGGTGAGGTCGCTTGGCCCTTGGCATGTTTGCTGCATGGCAGTGTGGGCTGGAGAATGGCAGTCGGCTGCTGTGAGACCCTCAGCCTTTTGTGGGCAGGTGGGCATGGGGCCACATGCTTCTCACACAGTCTGTAACAGGCAGGAAGGACGTGGAGGAGGACAGGGGGCTGCCTGACAAAAAGCCCCTGATGTTGCGGCTGGTTGGAAAGCAACACTGAGTTCTTAATGGTAAATGAGAACTTTGAAGAAGCCTTCCCAGCAAGCCATTGTGCCAGCCTCTGGGCCACATCAGTCCTGTAGTAGAAAGCCCTAAGGGGATGAGATCAGAACTTGGCGAGAAAGTCTCCCCCTGTCAGGACTGTAAGTCCCCTGAGGCTCAAGCCAGGCAATCATTTGGCAGTTTTCACTGCTTGGATGGAGACTGCCAAAAGCAGATTCCTCCTTTTATGATATGAGTTCCCACCATTGTTGAAGTGAGCGTGACCCCGACTGTCCCACTTTCTGGCTAAAGCCGTGGGGCTGGGTTCTAACAGAGACAGAACAGAGACAGCACTGGGCTGAGAGTCCCGAGACTCATGCTCCCCTCCTGGTCCCTCCTGACTTGCTGGATAATCTGGAGCCTGTCACTTCTCTCTCAACTGCAAAGAAAAGGTCCCTTTGAGTGACACTTATAATCTGCCCCACCCCTCACCGCACCCCACCAATTTAAGACCCTGTGATTTTGGTGGTCCCCAGGCCTGCTTTTATCTCATTCCCCAGACCATATCTTAGAAAGGTGGACAATCATTCTCTCATCTTACTAGGCATCAAGCCTAGTAAGTCTACAGAGCTGTACCAAGCTGGAAAATCTACTAATGTAAAAATAAAGCTTTATCCCATCTACCACATGGACCCTCAGCTTAAAAACAGTCACCCTAAAACCAGAGTCATCTCCTCCCCACACTCTGTCTGCTGGGACAGCAGATCCAGAAGCCCTGCTGCCTCCCTTTCCTTCTCAGGGTGGGCAAGCTGGTTTCACTGTTTCAAGCAGTGTGATGTGTCAAGAGAGACTGAGAGCGTGGAAACCCGAGGGAGACAGAGGCCTCCAGGCAGCCAGCCTCATCCAGTTACCTCCCCAGGTAGGCGTGTGTCTGTGAAGCTCCTGGCCTGTGGCCTTCGAGGCAGCATCAAGGAGGAAGGCACAGACACAATGTTCCTGTCAGCTGAGCCTCACGCTTCTGTCCTGTGGTTGCCTCCATCTTACCACAGCTGTGGAGCTCTAATGAGTGAATCTAGTCCCTCAGATCTCTGGCTCCCCCAGAGGAGCCCCTACCCCCTCTTCTCCAGAAGGGCTTCTCTTCAGAGTGTGGCTGAGGTTCCCAGGGCCAGCCTCCACCTGCTCAGGGCAGACAACCTGGAGACATCCAACACCTCACCGAATGCAGTGTTGATTCAACCCAGACAGGGGCTGCCTCCCTGGGGCTGTGGCAGCCCTTCCCCCCTTTTTTAATCCTCTGGAGATGTTTAAGAATAGAGTAAGTATACTAACTGTTTAGTATAACAGTTTGGGAGCAGGGCCATGGAATGAGAGCTGAGGCCTCTGGTGGGCGTGGGGCCTCAAGTAACTCGCCATCTTCAGTTTCCTGTTTGGTAAAATGAGTGGGTGACCCCTTCCGTCTCTGCTTTTCTGGGAAACTCTGACCCTGAGTGATAACTGGGCCCATGAGCCCACATCTGGCCCTGTGTCTGCCTTTCTAATCTTGAATCTGCATCCCCCATCACCGTTACCAGGCTGGGCCTGCCCATGGCAAACTGGAAGTAACAGAGCAGCACCTGGTGCTGGGGACGGGGTACAGGGAACCATGGAGGGGCCGGAACGTGACCCCAGAATCACTCTCCTTCTGATGAATACAACCTAATGAAGCCAAATAATTGATTCCAAGTTTTGTTTCTTTGAGAATTCCACTTCACTAGTCCAGACTACAAAAGAAAGAAAAAGTAGAATCGAGCCCTTGAAAATGAATATTTGATGAGACTGTAAGGCAAAGTAACAGTATATGAAAAACAAGAAGAGAATAAATTGATGAATATCCTTTGGGTTTATTTTTTCTTCACCTCGCACAGCAGACTGCCCCTCTCTCTCCCTAGCCTACCATTTTCTGCTCAGCTGACCATTTCTCTGTATGAAGAGGCTGAAAATGACATTCGTCTTGGCAACTTAGGATTTCAACAGCCCACATTTGTATAAAATTTTTACCAACACTTTTAGCACCCACAGTTTAAATATCTTTATAGAAATGTATCTAAAAACTCACCAGGCTAATATTAAGTAAACAGTCTTTGTGTTCGTGTAATGCGTTGTGCTTGAACATGCATATATATCCTCCCGATCACCCTTGGAGCTCCCATCCTGCCTTCTTTTTGTTCTGGATATTGAATAAGAGCCTTGCTCCTGAAACTCGTATATCCTATTGGTATAATACATAAAGAAATCTTCTCCAGCTCCCAGGAAGATAAATGGCATCATATCTGTAAAGCATCTGTATTTATCTTGCACCTTTCTTAGAGGAGTTTCAAGTGCTGTGATTGTTTTTTTATTAATGAGAACGGGGGCACCATACTTGCTCGCTTGCTTGGGGTTTAAAGTAAGGTCAAGGGGAACAAATTAACTGAAAAAGTATTCTTCCCTGCTGGGATCTTTCATGAATAAAAATGCACTGAGCCATAGTGAGCGCTCTTTCCAGTTGTGGCGCCAGCCCCCTTCCCTCTGAGCTCTCCTGCCCAGTGCTGCATGTCATTGTCATCACCACACACAGAGCTCAGGTTGACCAGTGACCTCTATTACAGTCACAATGAGCTGAAGTCCAAGTTCAGATCATGTGCCAGAGATTTTAGATCTCAGTTGGAACATGACCCATTTCAGAACAACAAAGGACCTTACTGGAACACGGCCACCCTGGAACAATGATCTTCCTGCATGCCAGGAGCAGGTTTTCTGTTTTTTTCAGAGCCCCTGTGATAAGCCTCCCGGAATCATTCACCTTCCCATTGTCCATGAACCCCATGTCCTCTCTTTGTTTATCTCCTTAGGAAAAATCAGGGACTAGCAGGGAGCCATTGTTCCTTCTTCACTTGTTCCAGATAAACAATTATACTCAGTGTGACTACTCTTTGGACTGTTATATAAAGGAAAAAAGTACTTTGTGTAGCCATTTCATGTTTTCTCCTCTGACATGGCCTATCAATCAGGTTGTTCAAATGGCGTGTTTACCCAGGGGAGAGAAGCTGGTAATTACAATGTACCTTTCACCAACATTAGAGGTTGTAAGAGAAAAAGCAGAATTCTGAAAATGAAAGTCTGATAAATGAAAGCATTTGTAATCACCTTATGTCACCTTCTGGTTAAGAAACACTTGAGGGCTGGACGGTTAGCTCACTTGGGAGAGCATAGTGCTCGTAGCACCAAGGTCATGGGTTCAGATTCCTGTACGAAAACCAGCTGCCAAAAAAATAAACAAACAAACAAACAACACTTGAGTCAGAAGTCACAATGAGCTCAACAACCAGGCATTTATTTATCTAAAATATTTCACCAGGGAAATCCTCGGTTGTGATTTCATTCACGTGGATGCTGCAAGCAGAGAGACTGCCACCTGGAGTTAGGAGTAAGTACCTGGTGTGGACCCAAAGAGGTTAGGTTTCTTATTACATTTTATGTCTCCTTCTTCCCCTGGTGTGGCCTGATGCTAAGACAGCAGCAGGATGGAGTGGCATGAGCACTGAGTGGGAAGTTAGGAGACTCGGTTTCTGGTCCTGGCTCAGCCCCTAACTAGCAGTGTCTTGACTTCTCTGTGTCTTGGTTTTCTTATTTCCAAGAACAAGAGGGTTAGACTGGGTGATCTCTCAAGCCTGCCTCTAGTTCTGACATGCTGAGATTACTCAGGTCTACGTCACATGATGGTGGTCATTGATGTCTGATTGTCCAGCCTTTGGTTAGTCTTAAAGATCTTCAGGTTGGCCTGCACAGGGAGTACTAAAGAGCCCTTCGTGAAGAACTGAGCCCAGAGAAGGGTAACAGAGGCTTTCTCTAGAACCGAGAGCTTTCACATAGGTCAGTAGGTCTGGTTCTTTCCTCAGCTTTGTGGGTTTCCCATCTACTCCACAGGTGATGCTGGATGCCAAATGGTCTACTCCTTAGGTGGCTCTAGAAGTGGCTATGTTGAGGGAGAACTGGGTCCTCCCCCATTACCCCCATATGTGTACAAGTGCATACTTGCAGCATCTACTCAGCCCCATCACTCCACAGGGAGACTGCTAAAGCTCATGAGAAGCAGCAGGGGGGACACTTGAGGTTTGGGAAGGCCATCTTGACCACCTACCTAACCTCTCTCTCTGGAGCCCTGTCCTGCAGACACCTTGGAGAGTATTGGGTCTCCTCAGCCCAGAGAAGGATGGAGTGATCAGTGGGCTCTGACTCACTTTGAGGTTATACAGCCCCCAGACAGGTCAAGAATGTTCATGGGGTCAGATCTTTGCCCAGAAAATGTTGCTGTAGCTATGACTGGCTTTTCCATTTACAGAATGGTTGAATGGCTCAAAGCCCGGGTGCATCCATCCTCAGCCCTTTTCTTCACTCCATTACACCTCATTACCTCACTCACTTTCACAGAGAGGTTAAAGTTAGGCTGAGAGGAGGCAATCTGTGAGACAGGAGAGCTGGGAGGACAAAGGGGTTGGAGGAGCCCAAAAGGGTCTCATCACACCTCTAACTTCTTTATGAGTTGGGTGCGAATTCCCGTAGGAAGCAGTAAGACTGAAGAAAGAGCCCAAAGCTAAAGCAATATCAGGTTTTTAGCTGTACTAACAGCTCCCAACAAATTCCTAATAATTCATGACTGCAGGTTCTTGGCAGCAAGGGCGCACTCTGCAGACTGCCTCTTTCGCTGCTAACATAATCCGATTTTCAGTGTGAAAAATGGCTGAAGCACTCAGAAATGGTCCAGTCACAGCACCTCATTAAAGCACACACACACACTCCACATAGTGAAGAAAGCTTTAATTATCTCTGCAGTAGGTCTTTTTTGAAAATCAGGTATTCCAAGCTCTAAGCTCTTTTCCTTATGTTTTTTGCATGGCTGACAGCAGAATTCAAGAAAGCTTACGAGAAACTGGGAAAGGTGAATTCAGTGCATGGGCCAGACAAGTTTTGGAAACTGAAGTGTAAATTCCCCTGGCGATCAATAACCAGCTTTTTCTCCCTCCCCGCAGTGGCAGGGCCGAGCTGCCAGCTTCGACAGTGAGAGCTCGTGCCCATCTCCGAAACCACCGCCGACACCGTGAGCTGCACAGCCGAGCCACACAAACGGGACTCAGCAGTGTTCTTTTCGCACTTCTTCAGCCGTCTAAACGCAGTGTTGTGCAGTCGCCGTGGCAGCGGCAGCAGCCGCCCGTCACTCCAGAGTCTTCACTGCTCCTGTGTTGGTCAAGGCCAAGACACTTGTCGTGTGGTCAGCTCTGTCTTAGTATTTTCTGTCTCCCAAGGTGATGTTTTTGTGGTTTTCACTTTTTACGGGTCTACTGTCAAGAAAAGAAAAAAAAAAAAAAAAAAAGAGTATGAGAAATAAAGGGTGGAGAGCCCAGAAACTGGTTCTATAAAATACAGTGTAAAATAGCCGTCTTGAGGGGAGAGGTGGATTGAGTTTCTGAGATCGTGTGTCTCCACCAAGCTCTGCAACCCCGAAGGAGGAGGAAGTGGGGTAGAGCTACCTCTGCATTTTCAGTGCCCTGCAGGAGTGGTGCAAATCAGTCCAGCCGTTAGGAGACTATCACTACTCTTTAAAGCTCTTCACTGGTTGACAGAGACCAAGGTGCAGACTCCTGGTCCTGTGCTGAAATCACATGACCTCTGACGTGTTCCCGAACCTTCTGCTGGTGTGCTGGGTGGGTTCTTCACTCTCCTTCCTTGCTGACTTTCCTCATGAACTGAAAACGTCTTGATTCCTCATGGGAACTTAGTCCCTTTCTTTAGGAATGATTCTGCTAAAACTAAACATGCCATATGTTTTCTGATGCACCCCAGTTAATGATCACATTTGTTTGAAAACAGGATCTTTGTTCTCGAAAATAACCTTCATTGTAAAGAATGAGAGGCACATATGTTCCGGAATGATTGCTGTGTTATACGTAGCTTTATAATTTCATGAAGTATCAAGCAGCTGTTTAAAATGCGTAAACGGATCAAAGAAAAACCTAGATAAGATGTTCTTTTCTGAATGGGGAGTTTTGAAATCTGAGTAAGTTTGAGTCCATCTTTCTATGAAGAGTATCCTCTTGATTGAAACAAAGTCAGCTTGTCTGTTTCAGCTCCAATGACTTTGGGACAATATTCATCTTAAACTTTAGTTCTTTAATTACTAAGTACCTCAGTGTTGTTTCAGTGGTAGTGAGAGGTTTTGTTTTGTTCTGTTTCCTTTAGATCTCTACCTGAAGCCAAATTCAGTTTAGGAAAAAAAATGTTTGAACTGTTCTGTATTGTAATAGCACATTTCTGTTGAGTAATTAGTGGCTTTCCCATTGATCCCTAAAACTAGGTTGATTTACTCCATCTCAATGTGGATAGCTCTGGGGAGCACATGGAGATGAGTTTCCACTTCAGCTTGTGACTACACAATGCCAATTTCCAGAACTGTGTGTATAACTTAAAAGAGGCAAGTCTGCTGAAGACCCCCTTCTTTCAACAATGGAAGGTCAAGGACCGAAAAGCTATTCACACACTTTGTGTCTTATTCTTTACGTATGTCACATGCTTTAGGAGCAGCAACTCAATAAAGTAACCATGATTTTAAACCAATATATCAGGTTTCTTTGCTGATATAACTTTGGGTGGTGCTTTCTAGCACAAAAAAATGACTGGATTGGGCATGAGCTAACAGAATATTGTGGCAAAAGAAGTTTTCTGCTTAGAAAAGTAAATGTACATAAAGCCAAACTTCACTCTGTACTGAGCCTTAGGCTAGGGACTAGTGTGTAAAGATAACCTCTCTCCCCATATGTCTTGTGATGGATAGGCTTCCCAGTCAGACCTGTGTTTGGATGTTCTCTTAAGAGTGAGAAAAAAACCAAGGTCATGACAAGACTCCCAGAAGGCGACAAATTTTATTATGTTTTCTGACTTTAGACTGATCCCATCAAGATGGCTATCTCATCATGGAGCAGATGCTGTGGGTCTTGCAACTGTGAAGGGGACAATTAAGTTTGCTGGGTCAGAAGGAGCCCAGAAGTTAGTGTGAGAAGGTCCCTCCAGAAGGGAGCTCAGAATGCATGTCCAGCTGTCACCTTCAAACCTTTAAGCAGGTGAGGATGACCCATTCTAACATTTTGGAGAAGGTAGTGTGATCGGTATGAATTATGGAATACTATTGCTTGTTTGAGAGATTCTTCTTATACCCAAGCAGCTATCTCACATGAGTGAAAATCTCAATGGTTTCAGAAAATCATTTCCTGAATAGATTATGGCCAGTGCCCACACCACCCTAAGCAACTGCTTCCACTGCACTCCAGCAGGCTCAATAAATTCCTACAGGCTTGAGAGCCCACCCCAGGGAGACTTTTAGCTCCTGAAGCCTCACCCCCAGTGCCCTCAGGGGAGACTAGTCCTCAACCCGATACACGAGTGAAACCTGAACGTCTGCCAACTTCATGATCTAGACAAGTATCTCTCCCTCACGGATGAGAATAAAATGAAATACAAGTTTCTGAGCAAAATGAATTACAAAGCTGATTCATTTGTTGGCTTTCTCTGGCATGAGAAACCTCTTGGGTTGTTGTGAACTTTGCTGAAGTTGCAATAACCAGGGCCATTTGCACATAGCTGTTTTTTTTAAAAAAACACAAGGTTCCCTTCTCCTTTATTTAGCAGTGTTTCTGGGCTGGAAGATATCCCCCACCACCACCCTCCTGTGCACTTACCCAGGATGTTAACTAATTGCATCATCACTTTAAAAATTATGTTTTTAATTACTGCTTTGTGTCTTCCCGCCCCTGTCACAGCCTGGAGTTTTTATTCAATTAAATCTCTGTCTCTTGCCCATTTCTCTTGTCATTTTATGTTCCTGAGCAGTCAACACACACTCAGGACATTGCAAAGCTTTTATTTTTAATCATTGCTTTACATAGATAATCACTCCCCTTCAATCAGAGGTAGAGCAGAAGGGCTTGTTTTTTTTTTCTGCAGGAGGAATACCTGCACACCCCATCAGGTTGGAATCCACCTGTGTTCTGTCAGGCTTGTGGCTAGCACAGCATTTGGTGCATGAGGCTTGGCTGTTTCCACAGCTGTTCTGCTCAACAAGCAGCCCCTCCAGATGCCGAAGCTTCTCCAGAGAAGTGGGTCATGATATTTTCATATCTAGAAAACAGGATGCTTTCACCCACCAGCAGAGGAATCCTACTCTCATAAAACACAACTTTTCCCAAGCCATGAGAAAATACTATTGCAGACTCAAAAATTTAAAAAGGACATTCTAATTTAATAGGATGTCCTCTCTGCTCACCTCCAGCTTTAATTAATTTAGAGGGCATCCTGTAGAGAGGAGAGTGGAAGGTACCATCCATTCCTGCACATTTGCATCTAAATTACTGGTGCTCCATGGTAAGACTCTGAGGGAAGCAAACAGCTGAGAGAAGCACTCTGCTGCCAGGATAGGTGGCTTTCCCTTGCTAGTACCTTCCCATCAGGTCTCTGGTCAGCTAGCAGGATTCTGTGATGTGCTGGTCATGTCTAGAGCTGATAAACCAGTGGGATAAATGTGCCTGTCAGGATGGGCTGGGGTATGCTGCAATAACAAACTTCAGATTTCAGCACTGAAAACAACAAAGGCTTAATGCTTGCTCATGCTAGGTGCCCATCACAGGTCAGCAAGGGGGGCTCTGATCATCACTCTTATTCAGGAGGACTCAGGCTGACCTCAAACATTGCTAGTTGCCACACCCAAGGGACAAGCACTCAGGAGGGGCTTATCTGGCCTAAATGCTCTGGCTGGGAAGTAACATATGTCACTTTCCAGCACAGTCCATTGCCAGAACGACTCACATGGACTCCCAAAACATAAGGGGTTCAAGTGCCCAGGGGAAAAAGAACTAGAAATACTTCATTAGCAGCACTTGGGAAGACCACAGTGAATTTAACAGGCCTGTGGAGGGTGACAGCCACCGAAAGGTTGATTCAGAGAACCAATGAAGGGAAACTATGTATTCTATTCGTTGTTGAATGAATCTTGCCCACAAAAAGCTTTTAGTCTAGTAAAATGACAATAATTAATGATAGTCTGAGGTAGAAAGTGGAAGCACAGAAAGTGGGGTGGAGTAAAATGCTATAGAAGTCCAAGAAAGAACATCACATCTTGGCAGAATGAGTGACAGCATCCGGAAAGACGTTGCAGTGGATCTGGGCCTTTAAGAAAGAGTGGGATTTGGCTCTGTGCAAATTGTGAGAAAGGGGCATATTCCATAAAAGAAAGGGGCTGATGGGTCCATACAAATAAAGGCTCAGAGCAGAGGAATTCCTAAGGCTGCCAAGCCTCCTGGGTCTAGGGGAGAAAATAAATCCCCTGAGCTCAACTGCCACCTTGCTCACACTGGTCCCCTGCCCTGAACCCCACCCCACCAAGGCTCTAGACCTGGTCCCTGCCTAGTTCTTACCCACTGCCTCCACTGGGATCTGGACCTGCTGCCCCTCCCTCCATTGCTGGCTTGGCTCCTGCTCCCAAATCAACCAATCTCCTGAGACTGCAAGACTTGCCTGATTTTGAGAATCAGTCTAGCTGCCACACCCATCCTCTTAACCAGCCTCCCCTCCCTGGGCTATTTCTCAGCCAGTAGCCACTCAGGACTTTAGCTTTTGTGCTGTGTCCTGCTCCCTTTTGGAGTAAGCCCCATCCAGATGTCTGATTCTCAGTGGAGGGAACAGGACTGGCCTCTCCCTGGCTTTCCTCTGGCTGGTTCACAGCAGCAAGCCCATGAGAAGAGGCTGGGGGCAAATAGACCAGCAGGCAGCTGCAGCAGTCCACTCAAGAGGGGCGAAGGACTGAGCCAGGCACAGGCAGTGCACAGGGAAACAGAGGGAAAATGCAACAGGCTGACAGCTGAGCTGATCTGGAAGACAGGGAGGGGGAAGGCGGATTCACAAGTGTTATATGTTTTTATACTTGGGAGCCAAGTGTTCTGTGCCTTCCACAGAAAGAAACCAGAAACTCAGCAGAACAAGGAAAAGGATGAGTCCATTTGGGGTCAAACTGAGTCTGAGATGCTGGAGGAATGGCCAGCACTTCAAGATGCAGCTTGGCAGAGAGGTCAGCCGTGAGATGTTCATTTACAGAAAGCAAAAATGAGATGTGAAGACAGGAGGCTGACACTGTTAAGTGGGTACAAGCTGACAGGCAGAGCCTCAAAAAGAGGTTCTTTGGGAACCATCACCATTGGAGAAGTGCCCAAGCAAAGCTGATCAATAAAAATGCCGATGAACGAAACCAGATCCATCAAGAGCTTCCTAAAATAATTCTTTATAACAAGCTAATCCAAGTTGCTTAAATATAACTCAGTTCACAAAAGTCTATTTTCACCCATGTTTGCAGGGCCCAACTCTTTTTTTCTCAGCTCTGCCCTTGAATTTTTTTTAATTGTGGCAAAATATACATAATATTTACCATTTTAATCATTTTTAAATGTACAGTTAAGTACATTAAGTACATTCACATTGTTGTGCAACCATCACCACCGTCCACCCACTGAACTTTTTTCATCTTGCCAAACTGGAACTTTATACCCATTAAACAGGAACTCCCCATACCCCCATATCCCTTCCTTCAGCCCCTGGCAACCACAATTCTACTTTCTGTCTCTATGAATTTGACTACTCTAGGTACCCCGTATGAGTGGAATCTTGTCCTGGCTTATTTCACTTAGCATAATATCCTCAAGGTTCATCCATGTTGTAGCATGTGTCAGAATTTCCTTCCTTTTTAAGGCTAAATAATATTCCATTGAAAACATATACCACATTTTGTTTATGCATTCATCCATCAACAAACACTTGTGGTGCTTCCACCTTTTGGCTCTTATGAATTATGCTACTATGAACATGGGTGTACAAATATCTCTTCAAGTCCTTAATTGCAATTCTTTTGGGTGTATACCCAGGAGTAGAATTGTTGATCATATGGTAATTCTATTTTTAATTTTCTGATGAACCACCATACTGTTTCCATAGTGGCTGCACCATTTTACATTCCCATCAGCAGTGCACAAAAGTTCCAGTTTCTCCACACCTTTGCCAAAATTTGTTTTTTTGATGGTAGCTCTTCTAATGGGTATGAAATGGTATCTCATTGTGGTTTGTAATGATTAGAGATGTTTTGATCCATTTTGAGTTAATTCTGATATATACTGTAAGGTAAGGTTCTAACTTCATTCTTTTTATGTAGATATCCAGTTTTCACAGCATCATTAGTCGAAAAGGCTATTCTTTCCCTATTGAATGGTTTTGGTACCCTTGTTAAAAATCATTTGACATATATGCAAGGTTTTATGTCTGGGCTCTCTATTCTCTTTCATTGGTCTAAATGTCTGTCTTTATACCAGTACCACACTATTTTGATTACTGTAGTTTTGCAGTAAGTTTTGAAATCAGGAAGTGTGAGTCCCCAGCCTTACTTTTTGTTTTGCTTTGCTTTTTTCTCCAAATTGTTTCTGCTATTTGGAGTGCCTTAAGATTCCATATGAATTTTAGGATGAACTTTTCTATTTCTTCAAAAAATGTCATTGAAAAAAAGAGTCATTGGGATAACTGATAAGGA